TCTGAGCCAGCTATGAGTGACCAATGGCCCACGACACAGCCCTGTCCCCTTCTCAGGGTAAACACACCTGGCAGTGGCATTTATCTGGTTCACCAGGCTGACTGTTCCCTCAGGAATAACTTCCTGTGTGTCCTGATCAGATATATTCATCAGCGATTGTTTAATAGTGAGCTGTGGGTCCTGCATGAACCCAAACATGCCCTTTCATTCCCTGGCATTGAAAATTAAAGATACTGGTCTGGTGCAGTCACTCATACCTATAATCCCAGCACTTTGGGAGGCCGAGGTAGGTGGATCACCTGAGGTCAGGAGTTCAAGACTAGCCTGACCAACATGATGCAACCCCATCTCTACTAAAAACACAAAAATCAGCCAGGTGTGGTGGCGTGCACCTGTAATCCCAGCTACTCGGGAGGCTGAGACAGGAGAATTGCCTGAACTCGGGAGACAGGGGTTGCAGTGAACCAAGATTGTGCCACTGCATTCCAGGCTAGGCAACAGAGCAGGACTAAGTCTCAAAATAAATAAATAAATAAAAATAATTAAATTAAATTTAATTAATTAAATATACTGATATGGTTTGTGTCCCCATCCACATCTCATGTCAAATTGTAATTCCCATGTGTCAGGGGAGGGGCCTGGTGATAGGTGATTGGGTCATGGGTGTGGATTTCCCCTTGCTGTTCTCGTGATAGTGAGTGACCTCATGAGATCTGATGATTTAAAAATGCGTGGTTTTCTTCACTTGCTCTCTCTCCTGCCACCTTGTGAAGAAGGTCCTTGCTTCCCCTTCGCCTTTCACCATGATTGTAAGTTTCCTGAGGCTTCCCAGTCGTTTCCTGTTAAGCCTGCAGAACTATGAGTCAATTAATCCTCTTTTCTTCATAAGTTACCCAGTCTCAGGTAGTTCTTTATAACAGTGTGACAACAGACTAATACAGATACTGTCCTTAAAGTAGTTGTTTTACAATCCATTATAGTAAACGTTTCTCAGGAAGCTGATGATACCAATTTACAAAACAGAGCCATTCCTTTACATTATCCCCTCTGGTTTTAATAGTTACTTGGTTTTGCCTTTCCCTTGACCATCTTCTTGGCAACCACGGGTCTCAGAGGTAACTTTTGTTGCCCTGGCTTAATTTTTCCTTTTGTAAGTAGCTTTAAGGCTGGTGGCCTGAGCTGAGATAGACCCATATCTGAGCTTGGTCCAGTCTTAAGGCCCAACCCAGCACTCTTTTACTTTCCTTTTAGCTATTACAGATAATAATGAGCAAGGAATTTAATATTTTATCTTTTTCTCATTAGTTTGCATTTTCTTATGCATTCAATGAACTAACTCCCTGGGAGTATGAGTATGGCCCAGCTCTAAATTCCACTGGAAACTGTTACCTTTAGTGACTGAATGCAATCCACTGCAGCTCCTTAAGATGGGTAACCACGTGGCCACCCAGAAGTCTAAGGTTTTCCATTTCCCACCTTTTTACCTTTCTCTTTATCCATTTAAATTTAGCTATATAATTTTTCCTTTATTTTAAAGCAACTCAAATAGCCTTTAAACTAGAAAAAAATAAAACATTTTCTTCAGCAAACATCCTTGTGTTTTTACAAATTTCACCAAAACATTTTTTACTCTTTTGCTATTTTAAGTCTTAGTAACCCAAATTCCAAGTGAAAAACCCAAGGTTACTTAATTTAACATAACATGACCTTAAGATTCTAAACTACTGGAGAGAATTTTGAGATTAAATTTACCAAATTAATCTTACCAAATATTACTATAGTCATGTGAACTAAAAGGCATCAGAGCTAGCTTTTGTTAGTCTGATAAGAACTTACTTTAAGCCAATTGATGAGAGCTCCTTCATATAGTTTGACAGTTAAATATCACTTCCACATAACACATGTAGATATAACAGATATACAGACAAAAGCAGATCCTATAAGATTTTTCTTTCTTTTTTTTTTTTTTTGAGATGGAGTTTTGTTCTTGTTGCCCAGGCTGGAGTGCAACGGCACGGTGTTGGCTCACTGCAACCTCTGTCTCCCACCCAGCTAATTTTTGTTTTGTTTTGATTTGGTTTTTTTTGAGATGGAGTCTCACTCTGTCACCCAGTCTGGAGTGCAGTGGTGCCATCTTGGCTCACTGCAAACTCCGCCTCCCGGGTTCAAATGATTCTCCTGCCTCAGCCTCCCAAGTAGCTGGGATTACAGGCGTGTGCCACCACACTTGGCTAATTTTTTGTATTTGGTAGAGATGGGGTTTCACCATGTTGGTCAGGCTGGTCTCGAACTCCTGACCTCAGGTGATCCACCTCCCTCAGCCTCACAAAGTGCTGGGATTACATGCGTGTGCCACCATGCCCAGCAATTTTTGTATTTTTAGTAGAGACAGAGTTTTACCATGTTGGCCAGGATGGTCTCGGTCTCTTGACCTCATGATCCACCTGCCTTAGCCTCCCAAAGTGCTGGCATTACAGGCGTGAGCGCCTGGGCCGGCAGGCCGGGCTGGCTGTGTATTTTTTTTTTTTTTTTTGAGACTCAGTTTCGCTCTTGTTGTCCAGGCTAGGGTGCAATGGCGTGGTCTTGGCTCACTGCAACCTCTGCCTCCCAGGTTCAAGCGATTCTCCTGCCTCAGCCTCCCAAGTAGCTGGGATTACAGGCATGTGCCACCACACCTGGCTAATTTTTTGTATTTTTAGTAGAAATAGGGTTTCCTCATGTTGGCCAGGCTGGTCTCGAACTCATGACCTCAGGTGATCTGCCCGCCATGGCCTCCCAAAGTGCTGGGATTGTAGACATGAGCCACCACACCCAGCTATTTACCTTTTAATAACACATTTTTTAGAAAAATGTTTTTCTATAATTTTAAAAATTAGAAACCACCCATTTAATGAATTATATTATTTAATGTAACTTTAGATTCTAAATTATATATCAAGTTTGTTTATAAGCATTTATTCCATTACATTTACCTGATTAATTTAATTTTGATAGTTTACTTAGGTTATTTATGAAAACTGTGATAGTCATCATTTAAAGCTATTTCCTGTTAACCTTTTTTATAGTTTCTTACTTAGGTAAGAAACTTAAGGTTAAATACCAGTATTTTACCAATAACTCAGAATTTAGCTGTTTTCATTAAACTAACAATAGTAAATGTCTTATTTATCAAAAATTACACAAGAAGGCTGGGCATGGTAGCTTATGCCTATAATCCCAGCACTTTGGGAGTCCAAGGTAAGCAGATCACTTGAAGCCAGGAATTCGAGACCAGACTGGCTATGATGGTAAAACCCTCGTCTCTACCAAAAATTCAAAAATTAGCCAGGTGTGTGGTGCACACTTGTAATCCCAGCTATTCAGGAGGCTGAGGTGGGAAGATCTCTGGAACCCAGCAAGTGGAGGTTGCAGTGAGCCAAAATCGTGCCATTGCACTCCAGTTTGGGCGACAAGAGTCTGTCCCCCAAAAAACAGCAACAACAAAAATTACACAAGTAAAGATCATTTTGTTTTGGGCTGGGTTTACAGTTTTACAACTCTTATGTCAAATTTTGGCATCTTATAGTATTTGGCAGGCATAAGTTTGAAACTGCTTCCATCAATCAATGGAAACAAAAATGTTGACAATTCTTAAGACATGTCTAATATTTATCAATAATTTTAAAGCTGGCTTATTTATTAAAGATTTTACTTATGTCACATGAACTTGAAAAACATTTGGGTTTATTATTTGAGTACTCTTCAAGCCAATTTGGTATATTGTGGCCACAACACATAAAGTACATGTACGTATATATAAACACGCACAGTCTTCAGACCAAGATCCTGTTGCTTTTACTTAGAATTCTAAACATGAAATATTAATACAAACTCACCAGTTTACAAAAACAAACAAATGGAGTGGCACAGTGGCTTATGCCTATGATCCTAACACTTTGGTAGGCAAAGGTGGGCAGATCGCTTGAGGTCAGGAGTTCCAGACCAGCCTGGACAACACAGTGAAACCCTGTCTCTACAAAAAAAAAAAAAAAAAAAAAAAAAAAAGCCAAATAAAATGGTTGAATCCAAACAGTGATTTTTTTTTTTAAAATCTCAGCAGAATAGTAACTGTTAGGCAGGAATCTAGACCCACCATGGCGGCATTACCCGGCGTAGCAGGCCTTTTGTTAAAGACTCCCTTCACCCTTTTACACACCAGCAGACTTACATGCGTCACAGTTCCGGCTGGGCAACCACACTCCCCCATGACCTGCAGCTCACCTGCATTCCACAAGTTTGTAAACAGCAGTTTCGGTTAACAGTTTCCAAAGACCCCTTCCTCATGACCCTTACTCAACTCCTGCCCTAGTAGTTTCAAGACCCCCCAGGCCCTGTTTGCACAACCAGCTTCCCTACCTCTCAGGCTATAAAAAGCCCCTACCCTCCTCCCTTAGCACGACTTCCTAGACCCGCACCTTTGGACTGAGGAACCTCTGAGGAACCTCGTCCGCAAGCCCTAATAAAAGGCTATTCTCACTGCCATTTGCCTTGTGTCTTCGTTCCCGGTTCGGCTCCAGCCTCAGTTTACCTTTACAGTAACGACAGATTTTAAGCAGCAGAAAATAAAACAGAGAAATAGAGAACTTAAGAACTCCATAGTTGCAGGTGGATGTTGGGAGCAAGCCCCCCAAAATCTGGCCATAAACTGGCCCCAAGACTGGCCATAAACAAAATCTATGCAGCACTGTAACATGTTCATAATGGCCCTAACACCCAAGCTGGAAGGTTGTGGGTTTACGGGAATGAGGGCAAGCAGGCCCGCCCAGTGCGGAAAACTGTTTAAAGGCATTCTTAAGCCACAAACAACAGCATGAGTGATCTGTGCCTTAAGCGCACGTTTCTGCTGCAGTTAACTAGCCCAACCTATTCCTTTAATTCGGCCCATTCTTTCATTTCCCATAAGGGATATTTTTAGTTAATTTAATATCTGTAGAAACAATGCTAATGACTGGTTTGCTGTTAACAAATATGTGGGTAAATCTCTGTTTGGGGCTCTCAGCTCTGAAGGCTGTGAGACCCCTGATTTCCCACTTCACACCTCTATATAGGGTCTCCCAACCGAGCTGGTCTCAGCAAGTAGCATCCATCGTAGGGGCTCGAATCCAGGTCAAAGGGTCGCCGGAGCAACAGTTGGAACGGAAAACTAGCTGGAGGACACCCGAGTACTCTTAAAGCAATCTCCGTGGTGAGTAAGAAGGGGAGTTCGGAAGCGTCAGGGTAACAATGGGACAGGTATGGGGTCTGGTTCGTTTCACCCTGGAACTTTTTCACACTGATAATGAGGAGGAACAAGAGTATAGCGAAGTAACAGAAGAGGTTACAGAGCATGTTTATTTACCAGCTAAAGCTAAAGCGGCAAAGGAAGGAGAGGTTCATCCCTACCCTTCTGCACTTCATCCTTACTGTTTTGAAGAAACTGACTCCCCAGATCTTTCTTTTCCGGAGGACACTGGGTGAAAAGTAGTTGCCACAGTGACTGAGCAGTGCCTTGAGCGACGGCTCTTAGATTCAGGCAGGAATTCAGCAAGCTAGGCGAGAGGGTGATTCAGAGGCTTGGCAGTTCCCTGTTAGAATACACCCCCCAGATCAACAGGGAAATATTACAGCTACATTTGAGCCTTTTCCTTTTAAATTACTCAAAGAGTTAAAACAAGCTATAAATGAGTATGGACCAGGTTCTCCTTTTGTAATGGGACTGATTTGTTTGCTGTTTCCAGTCAGATGATTCCTACTGACTGGGACGCTCTTACTCGAGCTTGTCTAACTCCTGCTGAGGGTTCTTACAATTTAAAACTTGATGAGCAGATGAAGTTTCCATTCAGGCTGCTCGCAATGCCCAGGCCCAACCTCAAATTAATATAACTGCAGACCAACTTTTGGGGGTTGGCGGCTGGACTGGTTTAGATGCACAACTGGTCATGCAGGATGATGCCATAGGACAGCTTAGAGGAGTGTGCGTTAGAGCTTGGGAAAAAATCACTTCAGGTGGAGAACAATATTCTTCCTTTAGTGCTATAAAACAGGGACCCAGAGAACCATATGTTGATTTTATGGCTTGGTTGCAGGAGTCTCTTAAAAAGATTATTGCAGATTCGACTGCTCAGGATGTAGTGCTGCAATTATTGACTTTCAACAATGCTAATCCTGATTGCCAGGCTGCTCTGCGACCTATTAGAGGGAAAGCACATTTGGTTGATTATATCAAGGCCTGTGATGGCACTGGAGGTAATCTGCATAAAGCTACCTTGCTGGCACAGGTAATGGCAGGACTGAGAGTGGATAAAGGAAATACTCTGTTTCCTGGAGCTTGTTTTAACTGTGGGAAGCATGGTGACACTAAAAAAGAATGTAGAAAAAAATCAGCGAGTCAGGCCGCCAGAAAGGGGAAAAAAGAAAACTGCTGATCCTGAAATATGTCCAAAATGTGAAAAAGGAAAGCATTGGGCTAATCAGTGTCACTCTAAGTTTATAAGATGGGAACCCGATTTTGGGAAACGCCATGAAGGGCCTATCCTGGGCCCCATTCTCAACTGAGGCATTTCCAGCTCAGGCCATTCCCTCACCCCTGTACAATGTCTATCCCCCGCCACAGCCGGTAGTGCCGCAGTAGATTCATGCTGCACAAAAGCTGTGAGCCTTCTGCCTGGGGAACCCCCACAAAAGTTCCCAACAGGAGTCTGTGGACCCTTGCCAGCAGGGATAATAGGATTACTTTTAGGAAGGCCTAGTTTAGGTTTAAAAGGCATACAAATACATACAGGAGTCTTTGATTCAGATTACAATGGGGAAATTCAAATTGTTATATCTACTTCTGTTCCCTGGAAAGCAGAGTCAGGAGATTGCATAGCATAGCTCCTGATTGTACCATATGTGGGAATGAGACAAAGTGAAATTAAAGGAACAGGAGGATTTGGAAGCACAAACAAACAAGGCAAAGCAGCTTATTGGGTAAATCAAACTACTGATAAATGTCCTACCTGTGAAATAACTATTCAAGGAAAGAAATTTAAAGGTTTGGTAGGTACAGGAGCAGACATTTCAATCATTTCTCTACAGCACTGGCCATCCGTGTGGCCAATTCAACCTGCTCAATTTAACATAGTTGGAGTTGGTAAAACTGCTGAAGCATATCAAAGTAGTTATACTTTGCATTGTGAGGGGCCCGATGGACAACCTGGGACTATTCAACCAATTATAACTTCTGTACCTATAAATTTATGGGGAGGAGATTTATTGCAACAATGGGGAGCACAAATTCTAATTCCAGAACAATTATATGGCCCTCAAAGTCAACATACAGTGCATGAAATGGGGTATGTCCCCGTAATGGGACTAGAAAAAAATTTGCAGAGTTTGAAAGAACCACTTCAAGCAGAAAAACAAAGTTCCCTCCACAGATTAGGAAATAATTTTTGATGGCAGCCATTGTTAAGCCTCCAGAACCTCTACCTTCAAAATGGTTAACAGATAAGCCAATTTGGATAGAACAATGGCCACTAAGTAAAGAAAAACTGGAGGCTTTAGAGAAATTAGTTACTGAACAATTAGAAAATGTGCACATAGCTGGCCGGGCGCGGTGGCTCAAGCCTGTAATCCCAGCACTTTGGGAGGCTGAGACGGGTGGATCACGAGGTCAGGAGATCGAGACCATCCTGGCTAACATGGTGAAACCCCGACTCTACTAAAAAAATACAAAAAAATTAGCCAGGCGTGATGGCGGCGCCTGTAGTCCCAGCTACTCGGGAGGCTGAGGCAGGAGAATGGTGTGAACCCGGGAGGCGGAGCTTGCAGTGAGCTGAGATCCGGCCACTGCACTCCGGCCTGGGTGACACAGTGAGACTCCGTCTCAAAAAAAAAAAAAAAAAAAAAAAGAATATGGGCACATAGCTCCAACATTTTCCCCTTGGAATTCTCCAGTTTTTGTAATTAAGAAAAAATCAGGTAAATGGAGAATGTTAACTGACTTAGGAGCCATCAATTCAGTTATACAACCTATGGGAGCACTACAGCCAGGATTGCCTTCTCCTGCTATAATTCCAAAAAATTGGCCTTTAATAATCATAGATTTAAAAGAATGTTTCTTTACTATCCCTTTAGCTGAGCAAGACTGAATGGTTTGCATTTACAATTCCTGCAGTAAACAACCTGCAGCCTGCTAAGCGTTATCATTGGAAAGTGTTGCCACAGGGCATGTCAAACAGCCCAACAATTTGCCAGACGTATGTGGGGCAAGCAATTGAACCTACGAAAAATTTTCACAGTGTTACATTATTCACTATATGGATGATATACTTTGTGCTGCTCCCACTCGAGAAATATTACTCCAACATTATGATCACTTGCAAAATTCGATTTCTTGTGCTGGTTTAATTATAACTCCTGACAAAATTCAGACTACTACTCCTTACTGCTACTTGGGGACCTTAGTAAATGACACTACCATTGTGCCACATAAAGTAACCATACGTAGGGATCAACTAAAAACATTAAATGACTTTCAAAAATTACTAGGAGATATTAATTGGATACAACCTGCTCTAGGTATTCCTACCTATGCCATGAGTAATCTGTTTTCTATCCATAGAGGAAATCCTAGTCTCACTAGCCCTTGGCAATTAACAAAGGAGGCTGAGGTTGAGTTATAGTTGACTGAAAAACAAGTCCATTAAGCTCAGATAAATAGAATAGATCCAGAGAAGACTCTAGATTTGCTAAGTTTTTCAACTCAGCATTCACCTACTGGTGTTATTGTCCAAGAACAGGACTTACTTAGTAAAGTGGCTTTTTCTTCCACATACTAATTCACGGACTCTAACTCCTTATTTAGATCAAATCGCTACTATGATAGGAAATGGGAGAACTTGGATTGTTAAATTACATGGATATGATCCTGGAAAAATTATTGTACCTCTCACGAAGGCACAAATACAGCAAGCTTTTATAAAGAGGCTTACTTGGCAAACCCATTTAGCTGACTTTGTGGGTATTCTTGATAATCATTTTCCTAAAACTAAACTGTTTCAGTTTTTTGAATTAACTAATTGGATTCTCCCTAAAATAACTAAATTTAAACCAACTGAAGGTGCTGAGAATGTTTTTACAGATGGGTCTAGTAATGGCAAAGCTTCTTATTTTGGCTCAAAAAGTAAAGTTTTCCACACGTCCTATACTTCAGCTCAAAAAGCAGAGCTTGTAGCTGTAATTGAGGTATTGACTGCTTTTGATACTCTATTAATGTGATTTCTGATTCTTCATACGTGTTTCATTCCACACAGCACAGTTAAATGAAAATGCTCCGTTATGATTTCATACAGATGAACAACTGATGACTTTATTTACCCAACTGCAAACAGCAGTTAGGAGTAGAATGCATCCTTTTTACATCACTCACATTAGAGCTCATACACCTCTTCCAGGACCTTTGACTGAAGGGAATCAAATGGCTGATCGCCTAGTTGCTACTGCAATATCTAATGCTAGACACTTTCACAATTTAACCCATGTTAATGCCTCTGGTCTCAAACACAGATACAGCATTACCTGGAAAGAAGCTAAAGTTATTATCCAGGGATGCCCAACTTGCCAAATGGACATTCCTCATCTTCTATAGGAGTTAATCCTCGAAGACTGGAACCTAACTCTATTTGGCAAATGGATGTCACACATGTTCCCTCATTTGGGAGACTAGTTTATGTACATGTATGTGTGGACACCTTTTCTCACTTTGTCTGGGCTACATGCCAATCAGGACAGTCTTCTGCCTGTGTTAAACATCACCTCTTGCAGTGTTTTGTGGTGATGGACATTCCAGTTCTATTAAAACAGATAATGCCCCAGGCTATACTAGCCAAGCTCTAGCTACATTTTTCTCTATGTAGAATATTAAACACATTACTGGAATGCCATACAATTCTCAAGGACAAGCCATAGTGGAAAGAATGAATCTCTCCCTAAAACAGCAGTTGCAAAAGCAGAAGGGAGACAGAGAATATGGAACCCCACAGATGCAACTGAACCTAGCATTATGAACTTTAAATTTTTTGAGCCTGCCCAAAGGCCAGATGTTATCAGCAGCTGAACAGCATCTACAGAAACCAGCTGCAAAGACAGAAACAGAACAACTGATTTGGTGGAGAGATTCAATAACAAAAAGTTGGGAAATAGGTAAAATAATAACTTGGGGTAGAGGTTATGTTTGTATTTCTCCAGGCCAAAATCAACAGCCTATTTCGATACCATCAAGACACCTGAAACCTTATCATGAGCCAGATGCCGAGGAAGAGACTCCGGGAGGATCCTGAGGACCCCTTGGTTGCAGCCATGTCAAGACTGATGCTGAGGAGGACCCCAACTGTCACAAGCAACACCCATCGAACACAGCCACCCACCTGAGGACAGATCAAGAAGCTGTCACAGATGGTGGAAGAAAACCTGAGGAAAGCAGGACAACCAGTCACAGTGAATAACTTAATGGTATCTATGATAGCGGTTATCACCACTGCCGTGAGTATTCCTTCAATAAGGGCTGGTAATAATGCCTGGATGCAATCACTCTATGACACAGTTACACATGCTTTCTGATCTCCGTATTTACCATAATAAATCTGCTCCTATAATTGAGGCATACCACCCTCAAAAACCTATTTGTAAACAGGATTGGACCTGGTTAGAAAAAATGAACATGCTTGCTTGGGAAGATTGCTTTGCAGAACAGACAGAGGTGCTGCACAACAATTCCAATGGAATCATTATTAATTGGTCCCCTAAGGGGATGTTTAGCTTGAATTGCACCTCTCAGTCTGCGTGCCACATCTGAACAAAACGGACAGATGGTAGATATAATAAGTACGGCAAAAGTTCCTATTATCTGGAACCATGTCAGTATAGTGTCACCTCAACCTCAAATGATATGACCTGCTCTAGGAGCTTAACATAAGGATTTGTGGAAACTATTAAATGCTCTTAATAAGATCAAAATTTGGGAAAGAATAAAGAAGCATCTAGAAGGACACTCTACAAACTTCTTTTTGGATATAGCAAAATTAAAAGAACAAATATTTAAAGCATCCCAGGCACACCTGACCTTAATGCCAGGAACTGGAGCTCTTAAAGGAGCTGCAGACAAATTAGCAGCTAGTAACCCATTAAAATGGATAAAAACACTTGGAAGCTCTGTGATTTCAATGATGACTGTGCTTTTAATCTAAGTTGTTTGTCTTTGTATAGTCTGCAGATGCGGATCCCGCCTCCTGTGAGAAGTAGCTTACCGTGACAAAGTTGCCCTTGCTTTTATCTCTTTGCAGACCAGAGAAGGGGGACATGTTGGGAACAAGCACCCCAAAATCTGGCAGTAAACTGGCCCCAAGACTGGTCATAAACAAAATCTCTACACACTGTAACATGTTCATAATGGCCCTAACACCCATGCTGGAAGGTTGTGGGTTTACAGGAATGAGGGCAAGGAACGCCTGGCCCGCCCAGGGTGGAAAACTGCTTAAAGGCATTCTTAAGCCACAAACAGTAGCATAAGCAATCTGTGCATTAAGGGCATGTTCCTGCCGCAGTTAACTAGCCCAACCTATTCCTTTAATTCTGCCTATCCCTTCGTTTCCCATAAGGGATACTTTTAGTTAATTTAATATCTATAGAAACAATGCTAATGACTGGTTTGCTGTAAATAAATATGTGAGTAAATCTCTGTTCGGGGCTCTCAGCTCTGAAGGCTGTGAGACCCCTGATTTCCCACTTCACACCTCTATATTTCTGTGTGTGTGTCTTTAATTCCTGTAGCGCTGCTGGATTAGGGTCTCCCTGACCGACCTGGTCTCGGCAGGTGGACCATTGGGCTCTGAATTTTTCCTTGATGTAATTTGCCCATCAGTTCAAAGTGTGCACAACAGACCATAATATGTAATCAGCTCGACTACTAGAAAACTTGGCATGCCTTTGGACTTTTCCTTCTCTTTTCTTTTTTGCTTGCTTCCTTCCTTCCTTCCTTCTTCTTCTTCTTCTTCTTTTTTTTTTTTTAAAGGCAGGGACTCTCTCTGTTGTCCAGACTGGAGTGCAGTGGCATGATCACTGCAATCTCCACCTCCCAGGTTCAAGGGATTCTCCTGCCTCAGCCTCCTGAGTAGCTGGGATTGCAGCACCTGCCATCATGCCTGGCTAATTTTTGTATCTTTTGGTAGAGACCAGGTCTTGCCATGTTGCCTTGAGCTCAAACTGCTGAGATCAATCAATCCTCCCACCCCAGCCTCCCAAAGTGTTGGGATTACAGGCGTGAGCCACTGTACCCAGCCAGACTTTTTTATTTCGTACAAACACTTGCAAGTAGAGCTGCCATAAAACCAATGGGCTGCCCAAAAGGCAGTTGTTTTTTTTTTTTTCCCCTCATTCTTAGATTATTTGTGTCCCACTTTTTTTTTTAAAGGAGGAACTGAGCTGTGGCCTAGGGTTTACTGTGGTGGCTCAAAGTGTGCTGCTTGTGGGCAGGACTCCAGTGTGTCACTACTGAGTCCTTTCTGCCCTCTGATGTGTGTCAGTTTCCCTCTCTGGAGGTCTGTCATCTTCAAGAGGGCATGAAACACAGTTATCAGCTCTTATATGCATTTCCTGGGTGTGCTTTTAAAACTAATTTTGTTGAAGGATTCCCTGTAGGGCCACTGCATATCACAAGGGATCAATCCCTTAGATGCTCCCACTCTGGCCCCTTGTCATCTGGGGGCACCTTTAGGCTGAGAGGAGCAAAATCCCTTCTCTCTACAGAGCTAAGGAGCTCAGTTTCTCATTTATCTATGAAAAGGACAGTTCAGTTGCTTGTGCAAATGCACAGACAAGCAAATTGAGCTTAATTTTGGGAGAAAAAGCAACGGAGAAGACCCTTTAGAATGCACCTCAGAACTCAAATTAGGATCCTAAACAACTTCCCAGGAGAAAAAAAAAAAAAAAAAAAAAGCTCAAAATAAATCAAGGATTATCAACCAAACGGAGGTCTAGGGCTAATGAAGACTTCCCAGTTCCACTGAAGGAGAAGCTCGAAGTCGGGAAGGTTTCAATGGGCCCCTGCTGGTACCTTAGCTCCAAGAACAGGTAACTCCTTCTGGGTCATGAATCTTCTCTGAGGCCCCACATTTTGGGGGCACCAAATTATTATTGACAAAAAGAGTCAAACTCTGTAAAATATTTGAAGAGATTTGTTCTGAGCCAAATATGAGTGAACATGGCCCGTGACAGCCCCAGGAGATCCTGAGAACATGTGCCCAAGGTGGTCATGGTGCAGCCTAGTTTTATACATTTTAGGGAGACATGAGACATCAAATACATGTAAGATTTACATTGGCTCAATCTACATTGTGGTGGTGAGACTTCCAGGTCATAGGTAGATTTAAAACTTTTCTGATTGGCACCCAGGTGCCATAGCTCATGCCTGTAATACCAGCACTTTGGGAGGCTGAGGCAGGAAGATCACTTGAGGTCAGGAGTTCAAGACCAGCCTGGCCAACATGGTGAAACCCCATCTCTACTAAAAATACAAAAATTAGCTGAGCGGGGTGGTGCGCACCTGTAATCCCCACTACTCAGGAGGCTGAGGTGGGAGAATCGCTTGAACCCAGGAGGCAGAGATTGCAGTGAGCAACCACTGTGCTACTGTGTGGAGATCATGCCACTGCACTCCAGTCTGGGCAACAAAGCAAGACTCCATCTCAAAAATAAATAAAATAAAATAAAATTAAATTAAAATGTTTCTGATTGGCAATCAGTTGAGTTATTATCAATGGAAGGGAAAGTTTGAGTTATGATAAGGGGTTGTAGAGACCAAGGTTTTATCATGCAGATGAAGTCTCCAGGTAGCAGACTTCAGAGAGAACAGATTGTAAATGTTTCTTATCAGACTTAAAGAGTTTTATCAGTAATTCCAAAAGGGAGGGGATATAAACGAAGCATGTCTGGCTACCCCTCCCATCATGGCCTGAACTGGGATTTTTTGGTTTTGTTTTGTCTTTTTGAGACAAGGTCTCATCTGTTGCCCAGGCTGGAGTACAGTGGCACAATCTTGGCTCACAGGAACCTCCACCTCCCAGGCTCAAGCAATTCTCCCACCTCAGGCTCCCGAGTAGTTGGGATCATAGGCATGAGCCATCATGCCCAGCTAATTTTTTGTATTTTTGGTGGAGACGGGGTTTTACCATGTTGCCCAGGCTGGTCTTGAACTGAGCTCAAGCGATCCACCTGCCTTGGCCTCCAAAAATGCTGGATTACAGGTGTGAAGAACCACCCCCAGCCTGAAGCAGTTTTTCAGGTTAACTTTGGAACACCCTTGACCTGGAAGAGGGGTCCATTAAAATGGTTGGGGGGTCAAGAATTTCATTTTTGGTTTATGGAGTCTGGAGATAGAGTCACATACCTTCATTAATTTTTGATGAAGTTCCCAAGGCAATTCAATGAGGAAAGAAAAGTCTTTTCAACAAGTGATGCTGAAATAAATGAACATTTATGTGAAAAAAAGAACCTTGAACCCTACTCTATCACATATACGAAAATTAACTTGAAATGTATCTTAGACTTAAGTTTAAAACCTAACTCCAAAACTTTTAGAAGAAAATATAGGAGGAAAATCTCTGTGAACTTTGGTCAGGCCAAAATGTATTAGATAGGACACAGGTAGCACAGGCCATTACATTTTTTAAACTAATTTTACTTTATCTTACTTTAAAAAAGCCCGTTGAAAGACACCATCAAGAAAATGAAAAAACAAGACACAGACTGGAATAAAATATTTGCCAAACACATATCTGGTAAAGGACTTATATCCAGAAAACATAAAGAATATTTAAAAATTAATAATAATTCCAGTGAGTTTGGCTAAAATTAAGAAACCTGGTTAGGCGTGGTGGCTCATACTTGTAATCCCAGCACTTTGGGAGGCCAAGATAGGCAGAATGCTTGAGCTCAGGAGTTCGAGACCAGCCTGGGCAACATGGTGAAATCCCATCTCTATAAAACATACTGAAGTTAGCCGTGCATGGAGGCACACTCCTGTAGTCCCAGCAACTTAGGAGGCTGGGGCAGGAGGATCACTTGAGCCTGGGAGGCAGAGATCACAGTGAACTGAGATCGCTCCACTGTACTCCAGCCCGGGCAATGGAGCTAGACTTTGTCTCAAAAATAAATAAATTAATTAATTTAATTAAATTAAGAAACCCAAGGATACCAAGTGTGGGTGAGTATGCAGGGCAAACGCCATTCTCATATATTGCTGGTGAAAAGGCAAAATAGTGCAGCCACGTTGGAAAGCACTTTGGCAGTTTCTTTTAAAGTTGACTATACAACCCAGCCATCTGACTTTTGGGGTTTTACCTAAGAGAAGTGAAAATACATACCCACACAAAGCCCAAATGTTTCTAGGGGCTTTACTCATAATCACAAAAACCTGGAAACAACCCAGTGTCCATCTACTGGTGAATGAATAAACAAATTATGGTACCTCCATACAATGGAATACTGCTCAATAATAGGAATGAGTTACTGATAACTGATATGCTACAACATGGATCAATCTCAAAAATGTGTGCTAAGTGAAATAAGTTAGATAAAAAGATAAATGATTCATTCAAGATGAACGAATGATTCCATCACATTCTGGTAAAAGCAGATAGGAACAGAACTCAGATCAATATTTGATAGAGGGGCTAGACCATAGGAGGGGATTGACTTCAAGCGGCAAGGCAGAACTTTGGGCATCGAACCTGTTATGGTTACGGTACAAATTGAAATGCTGTGTTACAGTTTTCTTCTGCTCCATAGTTTTAGGGAGAGAGTCATGGGCTGAAATATTCAGATTCTTTTTGTTTTCTTCTTGTGGCTTTGTGTGGATAAAAACTGCCCATGTGCATGCATTCCATGAATGGGATTGGGAGTCTGGGTGGTTTACAAAATCCCTCCTCCCTCTTCTGTCACTGCCGGACTGTCGTTGCATT